TGAACTGATGTTAAATGCGCGCGTTCTTTGTTGCATCGGTGGTTGAAATGGTTCATAGTTTCTTGGTGCAAAGGCATTTTTGAGTGGAATTTTGTGGTGGGTCAGTTGGCTTTATAGGCGGGCTGAACATGTTTTTGTATAGATTAATGAAGATTAAGAAACGCTTGTTTTACAACCACGTGTGGCATACGTTTCCTCGAGCACCTTTGATTCAAAAGGTGGGCAGCGTGGCCACCAACACCTTCGCGGGGTGTCATGTTTAGTGGGGCAGGTGGCAGGTTGCTGGCCAGGCTTCTTTCACCTCGCAGGAGCAACCGCCACCAGCCACAGCTGTGCAAACGAGACGCTTGCAGTGCGGTCTTTGAGTAGTTCGCTTGAGTAGTGTGGCGCCAGCTCCGGTCACGTCTCCGGCCAGTTCTGGCCTCCGGTGGGTGTCCAATACTGGAGGGTCAATGCTGTGTGCCGAAGTAGGCCCATTCTTGTAACAAAACTATCACATATTCACACCTTGCGCGTGTTTACCCACGACTTCGGCTTTTCAATGCTGCATGAATGTTATTTTCATGGGTGGCTCAAAAACAAAGCTGCAAGCAAATTAATTCAGTGAAATCACTTGTGCCCAGTCTTCCACTTCTGTCAAGCACAGCAACATCCCAATAAAATCAACAGTTTGTTCACCCCAATTTTTTTTCCGACAAAAGGAGCCACGCCGACAACACTAGCACACAGGTCAGCATATGGGACTTTGCCACAGGCCCCGCTAGAGAACTGGTGAGGGTCCCAGTAGTGTTCTGGCGCTCATGATGTTAATGACCTCCCGGGGCCATGGCTGTGCACGCACGCGTCCGAGGGGCAGGCTCACACAGCGCTGATCATTGTCATTGGAAATCCTTCTTTTGTGTTACCAGTTGGGAAGTGATGGGGGGTCAGAATTGCCATTGTTGTTTTATGTTGTTTTCAAGGTTGAAGTGCGTCGATCCGATTCAGTTCCGTTTTTCATGTCCCTCCGCTTCGTTTTTTGAGGCGTGCCGACGCAGCTGCATTCGACCTGGGGGGCTGAGTGTGTGGCCGAACCAACGGCCTTCGCTCTAGCGGTGCCCGAGCCCATTGAGCGACCTAGGCAACGCCATGGCCTTGTGCAGGCATGTGGACTGCACGCTGGGATTTGCATTGGTGTTTGCAGCGTTTTTGCGGACATGTCCACCTGGGCCCTACACGCAAAGAGGGCGCAAATGGGAACAACGTCTCAGCACCTCGAGCTCCAAAACCCTCGTGACGTTGACCTGGTTGGTCATCCATTCTTTTCATTATCGGTGGTCAACCATAGTCCTCCGGCTTTGACCCAAAGCCAGGTGAATGTTGAACCATCATCCTGTAGGCATTGGCAACACCAACCACGAACGAAGTTGGCAGCAATGTCGTTTTTGATGCCTTCGCTTAGCCAATCGTAGCTATAGATAATTTCTTGGACATGAGTGTTGCCAATTGAAAACTGAAACATGTGGCGCGCATGTGGTCAATCATTTGTTGTTTTCCCATGTTTTCTCATCGGCGACCGGAGATGGGCCCGTCCAGGAGCCGCGAGTGGTCGAGCAACATCAAACCGAACCGTGGCAAACCTTGGTGTGGATCAAGGGTTGGATTGGATACCCTAACGTCGGGAAACAACATCAGCTTGTGACACATATTGACGGTGGTGATTGCACCACCAAATGTTGCATGCAATTGTTTTTGCTGTTTTTTTTTTGAAGGGTGATAGAGTGTGTGTGGAGAAGTGTGAAACGATTCAAACATGTTGTTCTCAGATGTTCTCAGTTGTTGGCAGGTTTTGCCAACCAACCAAACCGTTGCAGTATCACCATGTCGGGCCCACAGCTTTCTTAAAAGGATACCAAGGCGGCCGGGCTGATTTAACACCCCATCGTTAGTGTCAAGTAGTCTAACTAACGTTCGGCACACTTGCTGTTGGTCAGCATGTTTGGTGCAAAATGGAATATATACATATATGGAATTATTTGTTTCATACTTTGGGGCAGCTGGTTGCAGTCCGTTTCCTTCGCCCCGTATTCTGAGGCAGAGCCACCGAGTTGGAGTGAGACCACCCAACTCCGCATGGAATTGGCACGCACTCGAGCTGAAACGTGGCTGGGGAACATGGGGAGGCAGTCATTGACGATCAGTGATGCCCCGGTATCCCGAAGCAACAAGGCCGGGTGTTGGAGGGATTGCACCTGGGTTCCTGAAAGGCATCGGCGGGCGATGTCAGTGCATGTTTATGAGTTTGTTTTCATATTTCACTGGCAACAAGCTTCAACGATGAGATTGCGACCAATTAAACACAATGAGCCGGCGACTCAAAATCTTCGGATTTCCATTGTGGAATTGTGGAAGGCTGCCGGAGTTGGTATGAGCCAGTCCTCAGCCATTCAGATGGAAAATTGATTCCCTTACTTTGAGGGTCCGGATGGTGTGTGGAAGGGTCCGGATCGCGTGGTTTTTGGCCAAGGACCTCGTCCAGTCGGAGAATGAAGTGGAAACCCTGCGAGAAAGATCGCGACAGGATGTTCAGGACCGGCGGCTCATGGCGAGATGTGATGGTTTAATGCGCCACGTGCCCTGTAGAATTGCAGCCTTGTTCTTTGTCAATTGGTTGGGCACCCGCTTTGAAAACAGGAGATGCTACGACAGCTGAAAGACTCGGAGCAGCAGCTTTGGAAACTGCACGCGCGACAGGCGCGAACCCAATTCCAACAGGATCAACAGGTGCCCGTTTGAATGGCAAACCAATCGCCATACTAATGACCACATGACATTGTGACAGGTGACTAAGAAATCCATCAGTGTGAGGGGAAAACACGTTTTTTGTTGGACTGGTGCTTTTGGGAAGGATGACAACTTGTTGTTGACCGGTCCGCCAAACACTGCGGACGGAAGAGGGCACCATTCTGATGCATTATATGTATGATATTGTGTAATGAATGTCTGTGTGGCCGTAGCTGTTTGTTCAAACCAGGGGCTGCCTGGTGTGTAGCGATGCCCTGATTCATTGGGAGCCAAGTTGATCCTTTTGTTTTGCAACGCCCCCATACCGCCCAGCCAGGAGTCCAAAGAACGTCAACGTGAAAGATCCTGGGCAGCATCTTGGGGACAGAACATCTTAGGAAACTGTTTGCGGACGATTTGGAACACCCATGAATTCCCAAAGGCATATGTCATTTAACTAAACTGTTTTGCTGTTGTTGTTGTTGCTGCTGCTGCTGCTGCTTGTTAATCCCATTTCTAACACCTTCTTCCACACAGCTCGGCTCGGTTTCGCTCGCTGGGCACCTCCCTCTCCTTTTGCTCGAGGTGAGTCGTCCGACTTGGCCGTGCTGCTGGAGGGCTTCGAGCGCTTGGAGCAGTTGGTGTCCCTCGTCCATCCCGAGCGCCTGCAGGAAGACGCCACAGATCCAGCCCGTCCACACTGCCGGCGTCCACAGTGCCTGGAGGTGGAGAGACGGGTGGCCCGTTGCAGAAAGTAAAGAATTGCCAGGATGGCCGTGATTCGATGATGGAAAGAACATGAAAGAACCCATGTGCCATCAATCCATCAGTTTTTTCTTTGTTTTCGTGGGGCGCCCGGCAATGGTTTCGAATGAAAGTTCATTAATTGGACAACCTGTCAGAAGGGAACACATTGGAAACAAGATCGTAATATTTGCCATCACGAATCTTTGGTGCGCGCTGTTAAGGACCGAGCATTTCGAGTAGTACAGGAAGTTCGGCCACCTACAGAAAAGTGACAACAATTTGCATCAAATACCACCGACTTGGTAGGACCTCATTCAAGACAGAGGTGGTGGGTGGTTGTTTTCCAAAACATTTCCGCGGACCTTCTTCGACCCTCCGCCTGACCGCGAAGGCCGCTCCCACCGAGCCCTTGACCGGAGTGCCTCAGAGCGAAGACGCGAGCGACGTGGCCTTGTACGTTCAGCAGTCCTTGACTTGGGCCACGGCGGTGGTGGATCGAGCCAGGGATCAGTATCTTGGATCAGATATTGTCCTTTTAGATCCTTTTAGGCCCTGTGGTAGGTGAGTTGTTAATTGGATGGTGTGCCATTCGTGGCTTTCACCTACAAGCACGACATCGTTCATGAATGAGAGAAACCCATTCTTGCACGGAAAAGTGCTTGGATGGAGCATCTACCTCCATTGCGAAGAAGGTCTGGTTGCAAATCGGCTGTATTTGAAGCCTTGTTCCCGGGTTTTCGGTGCATGTTCTTTTGGCAGTCAGTGTTAGTGTTTGATTGAATTCCTGGCCTTTCAGCCGACTGTTTGTGATTCTGGATTGGTGGCAGCCTGACAGAAGAAGTGTGACAACTTCCAGGAAGCCCAAGCAATTGTGTGGGGGCGCTTCATGTTTGCTTGAGGACATGCAATATATAAAATGATGACCACCAATGAGGCTCTTTGTAGGGCAAGCCCGCTCAGGAAGCTTGCAAAGGACCTCAGGAGCAAGTATACCACTGCAGCAGGACAATGTTTGGAGACTAGGTGGCGTCAATTTATTGGGCAGACACCTTCACAAAATAAGGAATGTTTTCCGATGTTTAACCCTTGACCACCCTTGGGTGCTAGAGTAACCCTAACCCAGGACTTCCGGAACCAGCTAGTCAGAGAATCCCTTCTTTGCAAGCAAGCCTCTCAAGTTGCAGTCCATGCTCGATCCCCGCACGAGATGCCCATGAGGCACTTCCAGCTACACTCTCGGCTTCGCTCGGCAGCTTGTTGCCTTCTACTGCAAGCAGCCGAGCGCTTGCGCACGCGCCGCTGCTGGCAAGCTTGGTCGGCCTGGCGCGAAGGTCAGTCTCGTCGGGGTATGTGCGAGCACGGAAGTTATGAGGATGAACTGTGAGCCATGTGACTCGTATGCTCGATGATGGCTGGCCGTGTGCATTCACTGTCATTTTGCAACGTGGAATAATCCCCTTTGGAATTGTCCCTCAAGAATCAGGGAACCCGGGTGTTCAAAAAACATGCAATTTTTTAGGAAGATTAAGCTGGTTGATGAGGTTCACTTGCCATTTTTTAGGGTGGCAGTGGAGTCTGATTCTTTACATGCACACTTCCCTATCTTTCCCTCATCTCAAGCTTTTGAGATGTTGGAAATTAACTAGCCACTTTTTGTCTTTTTTCTCCTCTCCCCCTGTCTCTGTATCTATTCCGGTAATGGGGAGGGACACGGTGCACCATGGTGAGGCCTCAGGTAGCCGATGGGGTGAGACACAGGGGCACATAACGGGAAGACCGGTTCCAGGATGTTCCAGGGCCTCGTGGCCACGGAGTTCCTGTTTTTCCTTGATGTTTGGAGTCTGTTTGAGGGAAATGTTGCAAAAGTGCCTTGAGGGTCATGAAGAGTCTGTTGGCATCCACTCCTGTCAGCTGAATGTGTGGCCGTCCAGTGCGGCTACAACGTCCTTGTTGTGTATTGCACTGTTTGTTTAATGCAGAAAGATTAATGCCATGAGACAGCAAAAAAAATGTTTCCAAAGTTCGTTGAATTGACAGTATATGTTTGGAAGTATGTTTGAATATTTTTTTTGTGAACAAGTATTTGTCATCATCATGGACTAGTACGTGTGTGGGGTGGGTATTCCCATTCTTTAGGGGAGTTCAGGTTTCCAAGGAGGATCAGGGAGGTATGTGCACAATTCTCAACGTGTTCTGATTTTTTAACCCAATGTCCAGTATGTGCTGGTGGATTTCTGATTCTTTAAGCTACAATGTTGGTGTGGGCCATTTGCGTTCAGGATCCTTTAAGGTGGCATTTGGCAGTGGCACTGGTGTGGATTCCTAAAGAATTAGACAACCCGGGAGGGAGACTTAATTCCAAGGGAGTTGTGGAATATAGATACTTCACACATGTCATGCCACGCCGTCACGCAAGTATTCCCGCATTTTGTGGTGCTGTTTGAAAGCTCGCTGGGTCGCTAATCGATGAGGCAGATTTTTACACCGAATGCAGTTCAAGACTAAGACCTTGAAAAACAGATGGATATGGGTGGGGCAAACTCCAGACCACCACCGATCTCCATGCAGGGTTCATTGTTTGAGAAACTGGGCCTTCTACTTACTCCTCAGAGTTGTCTCAGCTCCCTTTTCTATTCCTTGTTGTTGTTACACGGCACCGTCCAGCGTTTTTCCAGGCAGTGTGCCGTTGAAATGTGCAAAGCGAACGCCTTTTCATGGCAGCCCAGTGTGGCTTGGTCACGAGAAAATGTCGCCAGAACAATCAACTTACGTAGACTCTTGATCAAAAACCTACCATCTGAAGAGGTTGTTCAATTCAAATGGGTGCGTTTATTAATCGAGAGCCCACAATTGCTTGCAGAGCAGCAGTTCTGGAGTTTTTTTGGTGTTTTTTGTAGACAAGGCTTCGAAACTGGAACTAAATGATGCTAAATGTCTCCTGTTTCAAGAGACGTCCGGCCAACGGTCGAGGAGTTTTCCGGATGGAGCTCCAAGCAGATTGCCCTGTTGACAGGCAAACGGCATTCCCCCCACAAGCAACGGGAATGCCATAATCGGTCGGGTTGTGCCACTGATGTGAATTTCGCAAGGTGGTCATTGACGACTGTTTCGGGAAGAGGACTTTAGGTTGAGGAAATCCCATTGTTTACTGGTGTAAGCCCTTGGAGTCCTTTCAGTGCCTTTGTTGGACAATGTTGGACACAGCAACCCTCCAAGCAAGCAATGTGGCTAGGACTGTTGAGACCAGAGCGATTTCCGGGAAGATCACTGCCGCAGAGGAAAACAACCGCAACATGTGTAGGTTGCAAGTGTTCTACTGAAAGGAGGCCATTTGGGGATGGGTCCACCAGTGCCAAGGCCTAGATCAAGCCCCACTGCCAGCTGGGTTGACCGAACCACCGGTGAGGAGCGGAGCGAGCGGAGCAGTGAGAAGTGCTGCAAGATGAAACCAGATCAAGTACTGAAACCACCACCACCTGGACAACTGACTTCACAGCAGACAAACATTTTACAGTTAACTTGCATCCAAAGTCGGAAAGCAGACGGAGAAATCATCCCCCAAACAGCTAAATTTGATCCAAAGAGTTGGCCAACCGCGGGAGTGGACCTCAGACGATGCCCACTTTTGATGCTTTGACCCTCCCCCGTCCACACTCTCAGGGTTTTGTATCCTGCCCCAAGCGGACGGCTTTTCGACAGAACAGTTCTTTCAGTGGGAATCTGTAGTTTGAAGGTTGAACCGGATTGGTCCCTTCCAGCCACAACCTGTCGTGGGATGCAATGGTTCAACTCAGTGTCGCCTACTTTGAGTCTTGCAGCTGCAGAGCTGAATCAATTTGTATCTATTTCAGGCTGGTGCCATGTAGGCAGCGCTGTGCTGGTGAAGGGTGATTAACTGGTAAACTGTCAAAGCCTACCATGCGCTGCTTGTTCACCAGCCATTGGGGCCATAGGGCTCAACAAACGTTACAACTGTTCGAGGCTAGGCCCGCCCAAGTGTTAATATGGTTTTCTGTCTTGAGCCCTCGGCCCACCACCACAATTTTCGGAAAAACGCAATATAGAGCAGAGCATTGTATACAACATACCTCGGTCTGTGGAGGGCTTCTCTTGGGCTCAATTTCCCAGCGTCCCAAGGCCAGGGGGTTAACTGGATCGGCTCAGGAGCACAGCTGGCAGAGTTGGCAAAGCTGGGTGAGGCCAGTCTTTCTCCACTCTGCGGGCCCTTCTGCACAATCCGATGGGTTTTCCTTCTCCGTGCGGGGGGAGGAGAAGGTTCTGCAAAGGCAATGGATTGAGATGAGGTGCAGTGTCCGAGCAGACTTCCTTCCAAGGATTGTTGAACAACAGGCGCATGCCCTCCGAATCCAACAGCATCAGGTCACCATGTAACAGCCAAAAGCCGACCTAGTTCGGAAGTGGCAACATCTCCCAGTGAAGGAAGGGAGAAAAGGATGCTAGCAACTGTTTGGCTTGCGGCGACATAGGGGCTTAAAAGGGACATCTATCAGAACCAGCCGTGGACCCCACAGCCAAGCTGTTCAGATTCCAGAACCTGACTCACAATGAATGAGGGCTGGTGAATCAATCCTTTTCGTGTGCAAGTTCGATTCAATGGTCGCTCCGTCGGTGGACCTGTTCAAACCAAAGCCGTGTTCTCCAAGGGCGCCAATGGATTCCGTCGTTGCAGGTCAGCGCCCGTGTCGTTGCAGAAGCATAGTAGCGGCGCTGTGTTGGAGATTTGGGAGAGCCACCTGGCTGATGCAGAGATGTTGTCAGACCCCTTCCTAGGGTGGTAGGGTCACAGTGTGGAAATCGCTGCCCCCACACATCCCTTTGCCAATCCTTTCGCAGGTAGCGGTAGCAGGGACTGGCAAACTCACCCCAAACATCAACAACACCTCACGTGAATCCCCGGCAAAGCTCAAATTCACCAGAACCACGTGGCTACAATGTTTGCTTGAAGCATGTTGGAATGTTCACTAGGCGAGCAACTTGATGTTTACAGTGGGCCTTGGAGACCTCTTCATCTCCTTCCCTTCCCTTGACGTGTCTCAGGGGACGTGAGCGACTCAGACGAGGACGAGCACCCGATCTCCGCTTGGCGTTTGCGACGTTTGTGGCCCAACCGCAGACCGTTTGACTGTTCTGTTGGGTTGACCCAATCGATGCCTGGGAGCCGCTGGGGCCGCCGTAGCCTCCGCCGTGTTCTCCGGACCCTGAAACTGTCCAGGCACGAAAAAAGCTTTACTTGCGGCTGCTTCTCTAGAAAAAACCTTCCTGGGCACCTCTTCTTAGTGGGTCCACTGTGCACGAATTCACGGAATGAGATCATCCGGTGTTTTGATATGTTGAAGTGATCACGAATCAATGCACTGAAAGCCTAGCCTCATGGTCATACCTAGCAGTTTTTTGCTCAATTTTGGCATGGAAACAGGAACTCGCAAAACAAACAGTACGAAACGGATCGAAACGGCTTACTGATGGCGTGTCTTTTTTGTTGCGCACCTATGTCATAGTGCTTGCTATTGCTTGCTTGTTTCTGGGACAAAGCGTTGACGTTCTCAGAACATTTTGGACATTCTTTCCCTGCGCTGCTGTGCTGTGCCTCCAGCCATTGAGGCTTGCCAAAGTCGTGGGCGGCAGGCTGGCAGCACAACTCTGCAAAACCTTTCTGCGATGGCACCAGCTTTGTACCAGAAGGACCTTTTGAATTCTTGGTGCCTGTTCAGAATGGTACCACACATGGTCCATGGTGTTGCTTTTGAGCTGGTCTTCTTTTTACCAAAGATGCACACAACCACGGACTACGCTGTTCATCAACGAGCGGGGTGTAGTTTTTCCACATGCGCATGCCGTACACACTCAATTACAGTGGTTTCAGAGGTTCAATGGCACAGACCCCATGATGTCCTAGACAGATGGGGGTCCATATAAACCACAGACATTGGGGTCTGCGCCGTCTACTCTAAATCCACTATACACTCCGACTCACTCAACATGGAAGCGCAAAAAAACAAACCTGTTTGGAAGGGAAAGGAGCCTTCCAAGGGACCATGTTCATCCATTTTCCATTTGAGGAGTCTCCCAAGGGACCATGCCATCCACTTCCGTGTGTCGTGTCAGGGTGCACGTGTTTTGTTCGATCACAGGAGGCTCGCACTTCGATGCCTTTGCGCATGCCTCGGGCGCCAGCGAGCATCTTGGCAAGTGGACAGAACGGACCGAAGTGCCAGGTGATGAAGTGACATGCTCCAAGTGGTTCCAAACATCAAGTGAGATGATTTGAGTGCGGCAAGATGCATGTGCTGAACATGTAAGGACAAGATGCGGCAAGATGCATGGATGACTTGGCGCTCCTCAGTCGCCCAAAGCCTGGCGAACTCAGAGCAACAGGCCCGAACATGCCACCAAGCCCAAGAAGGTGTCCTTCAGGCGCGACTGACCCGAGTGCGCTGCTACATGTCCGCGCACTTGTTGATGCGGGTGCAGCGTCTATGTCTTTGCAGCTGTTTTCGCGCCTGGGCGATCCTCCAGCGGCAGCGGCAGCTGCGGTCAACACGAGCGTTGGAGACCAAGTTGAGGGAGCTGCTTGGATGATCACAGGAGCGGAAGTGGCCAGTGTACCTGGCAGAAAACATAGGAAAAGACATGGGAACCCACGCATCGGGCTGGTATTCCGAATCTCATAAGGAGTGGGACATGTTGGTTGCTCAGACCTGGCTAGTATCGGTATCAATCCTTTTGTCTTGACAACTGAGGTTGGGTGAGCAATACCAGAATGCTTTGGAGAAAAGCCACCAGGGACGCTCCTCCGCTCTGTTCAAGGCTCGAGAGCTCTCCAGGCAACGGCAGATGCTGTGACTCGCTGGCAAGCGAAGGATGTGGTGTTTGTTGGGCGGTGTCGCCGTCAAGTCGTCAAAAAGGCTGCAACCAGTGAAATCCACACAGCCGTGAAGCCTGGCACATTGGTTTTCTTCCTTAGCGACTGGATTGCAGAGACATACACTCGAAGCTTCGCCGCTAATTAGCCTTTCTTTGACCCCTGCCAAATCCAAATTTGGGGCTTGACTTCCACAAAGTGCCGACTTTTGCTTCTAGACCCTATAGCTGCTACACTGATGCAGTTCAAGGGCAGAACAAGAGCTATCGGTAATTCCGTGAAAACGAACTTGAAACAAGAAGCCACCATAAAATGCTATGTCTTTTCTGTCCATCCGAGACATGTAGATCGGACTTTTCAGCAAGCAGAACGCCGGCTAACAAAAACGAAGCGCTGTCGGCCCTTCAGTAGTCTCACCCAGGGTCTCCCGCAGCGACCTGTGTTTGGGACCTAGCGTCTGGGCGAGCCAGGTTGAGAGTCTTCCTGGCCTTGCGCTTTCAAGTCCGTCTCCAGCTTGCTCGCCACAGCCCGCAGCGGCCACCCACCGCTCTCACCTGGAAGATGCTGCAGCGAGTGTTCAGCGGCTGGCGGCGAGTGATGCATGGCAGTCGGGTGAGGGAAGGACAGGCGCTTCAGAAGATGAAGGTCGCTTGGAGAAGTTCGGCACCTGTAGATCGAGTAGGAGTTGATTTGCATTTCGCGGCGCTAGGAGAGGCCTCAAGTTGGATGTCAGGAGAGGTTTGGAGGGTGTCCAATGCCAGAGCTGGGTAATAAAACGTGAGCTGTTACGGCTCCACTGGAGCTACATTGCCTGAGCTTCGTCCAATCCTCACATCAATTGAATGGGAGGATGCACTTCACATGCAATATGCCTTTATGCCATAAGGGTCCCAGACCTCCCCACCAACACAAATCCCTTTGCTGTACTCGACCTTTCTGTATAGCCTATAGGATCTCATCGTGCCTCATGAGGACTCTATCAGACGAAACCTGGTGAAACTCATCGCAAGTTAAGGCTTAGCACCCGGAACCGCATGCAAACCTTTGTTTTGGCCATCAGGTGCTGCGGGAGGGGCAGATTGTGCTGATGGAATGGTCTGCTCAGAGCCGAGCACAAAAGCGCACGGCACGTGCCCTGCCGATTTCAGACATGCTTGGGCTCGGAGTATTTGGATTCCAGGCAGTGGTGTGACATGTTGTGAGGTGAAAACCGAGAAAAAAAACGTCTAAGGAATCTCTAGGGCCTCTAGGGACTCTGCTTTCGCTGCTGTTTGATGATCTCTCAGGAATTTCTTCATGAAAGCGGGGTCAAAGCATGGTCAACCCTATACGGATGAGGCCATCCTACACGGGCAACTGGACCTTTCTATCAGCAGGACCCGCGTGATGCCCACGAGGTTCATGCATGAAGGCAATCGCTCCGAGCGTCGATTCGTGATGGATGGTCAACAGGGGAAAGGCACTTTTTTCCTACAAAGGCGGTCATGTTCGAAAGAGTGTGAGGTCAAGTCAGGTCGTCACGTAGGTTGGCCTGCGCGTCCACCCAGGTTGGCATGCCATCTTCGTTCGCCTCTACCGACGCGTGCGAGCGCACCGAGAGCTGATCTTAATCCAGCCGCATGCCTGGGATATGCGCCATGGCCTGGCCACAGCGCCATGGCCTGGCCCCAAAGGTCTTTTTGTAGGGTGGACATGCCTGGCAAATGGTGGTGATCCTTCCATTCATCATTTTTCATCCAAATCAGAGATGGTTCGGGTTCCAGACCAACTGTTGCAGAGGAGAGCAGAGGAAAAGGGTCTTTGCCCTCGGCAACAGGCCGTGCCGCACATGGCAAGTGTTCTCTGGAGATTCTTCCACCAAAGGTCGGGGTTCCGGCCGCGGTGAATATACCAAGAGAATGTCCATATCAATTCTCAACGCCTCACCTGCTCACCAGTGCACTAATGCAAATCACCATTTCATGCATTCCGAGAGCTGCTAGGGGCTCCACAGATGTTCTAGCATGTCACGTCCAGCCGTGGCTTGTGCGAATGGAGTTTGGCAAGATGTGTGAATCCATGTGGTTCAGGGCCTGGCCGGTGGAGATGTCGGTGCAAACCATGCAAAAAAGAAAGGCAGCGGACCCCAAACATGGGAATTTGTGTTTGGGCCCATAATAAACCGATTCGTCCCAGAACCTCTGCCATAGTACAAGCCTATAAATGGACACTTGCAACATTTGTCAGCCACATGTTCCTGTGATCTGCAGGCATCCTTGAGCTCTTGGCAGCAATACACCCTTCGCCGCCGCAGCTTGCGACACCGCCAGCACCTCTCCGGCAAGCTCCTGCGCGCCAGCATGGCATGGAGCTTGCAGAGGCTGGTGCTGAGTCCAGATAGCTCGGGAGCACATCATGATATGACTGGTGGTTTGGAGCATGTGACTGGTGTCATGTGCTTATCCCCATGTATCCCCACTGATGTGGAAATGTGGACACCATATTTTGTTGCTTGGAACGGTTTCAGTGGCCAACCTGAAACATTAAAGATTTGTGTTTCAGGTGATAGTTGCTTTTACTGGCTCTGAGGGGTGTTCTTCCCACGGTGTTTTTTGAGCACTCCAAAGGGATGACCTGGAGCTTCTCAAGGTCATGTTGTGTTTCCCCTATTGGAACCCCTGGGGCCCTTGGAGAATTGCAGGGAATAAGCAGCATCAGCAGCATCCAGCCACTGAGCCACCAACGGCCAAGGGCCGTGCGTCTCGAGTGACTCTTGGGTCAGCGCTGATAGCGGCAGGGCACGGATCAGCGGCGATGTGTCCGCGTTCTGCAATCGGAAGAGCCATGATGGAACACAAGGAATGACATGGAACAACCATCATCCACACTTGTTGAAATTCAGCAAGTCTTAGAGGAGTTCAGTGACTAAGGGGGGCCCTTGTTCCTTCACTTTCGACGTGATTGGAAGTCCCGTTGCCTCCTCCCTGCATGACGCCCCCATTGGGCATCCCGAAGGCGCAAAGATGAGCGTTGCGAACTAGAAAGCAGGGACGTACCTTTGACGTTAAACCATCTCGATACACAAATCGTTGGAACTGTAACCATACACAACCATACTATATATTTGGTATATAATGTAGGACATCCCATTGCATGTCAGTGCATCCCCTTCTTGGTCCTTGTCCACCTGGTCAGGTGCTTCAGCGCTTGGGCCTGCCATTCGTGGCCGCGCCGCTGCCACGAACTGCTGGGCCGCCTGGAGGCGCTCTCCGCACGTGGCACGACTCTCCGCAGACTGGCGAGCGCCTGGAGCGCCTGGAGCGCCCATGCGACTGGGCGCTGCAGACTCGGAGAGAAGACTGGTGGTCTGGAGGGTACTACCCATGACCTGGCAAGAGGGCTGCTGGATGACCTGGCAAACGGTCAGACACCAGCGTGGTTATGTTAATGACAGGGCAGTTCTGTTTTGGATGGGTATGTTTTGCCCATTTTTTCACCATCTACCCTTGAAAGCACTACAGAAGTCACTACAGATATGACGGAAGCTCCAGGCACCTGACTAGTGCGCCTGACTGGCTCTCCGACTCAGGTCGCTCTCGCCAAGAAGCAACGAGCTGCCGGAAAGATGCTGGTTTGCAGCTTCCGCCGTGGAGAGCACTTCTGCTGTCTGGAGGCCGCGTGATGTCAACAGGGATGGCTGTGATGTCGTCATGATGGCCAGTAATTAGAGGTGAAGAGGATGAACCGCCTCATGAACTTTCATGAATGTCCCCTGAACTAATCAACTAGAGCGTTTGTTTGCAGTGAATTGGGCAACAATCGGGCAACTGCAGCTTCTTTGGTGCTGAAGATCTCACCAGTCAGGAGGCCTGCCTCCACTTGCGCTCACACATACCTTAAACAGATCTTAGACAGTGTACAGGCTGTTTTATCTATTCAATTGGGGCAAAACTTCAGTTTTTATACGTTCTTTTTTTGTCGGGCCAGTGCTATGCCATCATCCATCAGCATCAACAGGCCTCAAAGTCGGAGAGCCCGTTGATGTTTTGTGTCACCCCTTCCCTGTCTCCAGGGGCGCCTGGAGTAAGTCTTAATCAATGATCCACTGTGAGTGGCCGCAAAAAATATATATATATATATTTTATAGATTGATATGGTACCCCCAAAGAAGCAGCACCTGTTAATTGAAGGATTGATTAGTATTTTTAACATACAGTAAATGAGTTATGCCAGATATGCAGACTTGAGCTTCAGATTGGAAGGGTGAATGTGCAGGCAGAGGTTGCATGTTCCTCTTACATGGTCTAGTCCAAGTTTTCAGGACAGCCAACACTTTTACGTCCCTCCTCTTGCAAGTACATCAAAGTGATGGCTTTGTTCAAGAACACGCAAACACCCTTAATTTTTCTCTATCTCTCTCTCTCTCTCTATGTGTGTGTATGCTATGCAAAGTAATGTTTCTGAGAGAATCCGCACACATCCGCACACCGCACAGTGTGGCACAGCATGCCGGTCCAACTTCCGCCTTTCCTCAGATCTTGCGGTGTTGGGCACGGCACACGAAGCGGCTTCGACGACGGGATGGAGTCCTGGGTAGACATCAGGCGTGTACTGCGCGCTGGTGCATGGTACATGGTGATGGGTGGTGTGGAGCGTGTGGAGCGTGTGGAGCCGGTTCAAGCTTGGAGGATTTGATAGGATTTGGAGATGTTTACATGATTTTACCATTTTAGTTAAGAATGTTGATTGAAATATGCGAACGCATGGCGTCAGAATGATCCTGAGCGTTTTGGGCTTCAGAGATCAAGCTCGAGGGCCGAAATCTTCTTGGCGCTCGTTGACGCCGGTGGATAGAAGCCAAGAGCTGCATCATGCCTAGGGGGGTTACTTCACGCCTGTCGTCGTCGATCCAAAGTGGCGCTTTGCGCACCGCTTGGGAAGTTCTCAGCCCATTCGTGGGATCCAAAGCGCAAAGCTCAGTTCCCCTTCGTGGGATTTGGTGGCCCACCGTAAGGGGAAAAAAGACACCAGTGCACCCGAGGGAGGATTAGGAGGATGAGGCTGAGTTTGAGAGTTGCATGTTTTTCCGCGCCAGCAAGCCTTACTCCCAAATCAATGTAAACAGTGTTGTGGAGAACCTTACTCCAACTTAAGAGTTCCAGGAAGTTTCTGGCAATGGATCCAACACCACCAACGGTTTGGCTTGGATTCGTGTTTGATTTTTTTTGGGTTTGCGTCCACCTTGCCTGCCAAGCTAGCAGGAACTGAGGATTCCTTCGGATGCCTCTCTTTGGTCCCTCACCCAACGAATGCCTTGAATGACCTTTGCAGCTAACCCCCTTGAGCACCCGAGTTGTACACTAGGATCCCCTGGCATCCACCGGGCGGACTTGACCCGTTTCCAGCGAGGAGCACAAGCCCCGAAATGGCCGACAACAAAGCAGCACGCGCTGCGTCGTAACTACCCCTTCGCCTCTTAAAGATATTTAAAGTCAATGGGGACCAAGACGCTTCAGGGAATTTCCTTTCTCGCCAGAGTCCTAGACACTTGCTAGAAACGGCTCGGGTCGTAGGGCACCATACCGCACGGGTCGTAGGTGCTCCGCTTGGCGTTCGTGCTGTGGCGCCGGAGATGGCAGAGGTCTCGGTTGATGGAGGAGCTTCGACGATGGCCAAGGCGGGTCGCTCGAAGAAGCTCGTTGCATCATCCCGTTGAGCCGTCTACCGGGTTGACCCACACACTAGGTCTAAGTGAGATCCGTTTGCGGATCCTTTGCGGGCGCCCCCAACTAACATAGATTACCTACATATTATATGTGCAATATTGTATAGTTAAGCTATATATTGTATACTGTTCTCCTGCCCTATATACCCGCGATGGACACATGTCGCAAAATGTACGTGGTTTTGCACATTCCTAGCGGTGCCATGCCTAAAAACTTTTTGGTCGCGCAGTTTGAATGGTGTTCCCGACAGGAGTCATCCAGCTGCAAGTTGGAAGAGGATACTGCTGCGGGCATGGCAGGCACATGTGCAGGCCAGCCGCAGCGCCAAAGCTTCTTGGCACCCTGTGTGTTAGAACCCACTGCCGCTGAGGGTTTGAGCATGCTCGGAAGCCAAAAGGTCCTTAAGTATCCTTAAGTGAAATGCAGCTTCAAAATGCAGGCTTGGCCACAACCCATTTCCAAGAAATGTACCCTGGTGACCCTGCTGACCAGCGCTCCTCACCCCAAAGCCCGACGATCTGGATCAGATGAACACAACCCTCTTGATTGATCGCCCAGTGGCAGAATATCGATACTCTGACCTGAACCGAGAGCCGTGCACGGAGGAAGGAGCCGTGCGAGCACTCCAAAACAGAGGATTATGAGGCAGTCAGTGCTTAGGAATTTGGGCTTATATCTTCTGCAGCCGAATCAGCTGGCAGATCCAAATCAGCTGGCAGATCCGAAGACGGTTCCTCCCAAGGTTCAGCGCTTGGGCCGCTCCTTCCACGCCTGGGCCCTCGAGGCAATGCGATGCAAAGAAGTGAAGAAGTATGACTTCCGGCAATGTGATGGTTTGTCTATTTTTCATGCTCTTCTCTGAAGGGTGGGGCGCAGGCCTGCGGCACTGAATGTGTGCCATTGTGTGACGGTCTGTGGCTGATCGATATGTCATTTATGCTGATTTAAGTTGAGCTTGCTTCTGCTTTGGCCATATATAGCCACCAGCTCCCATAAAGGACATCACAATTGTGATAACGGGTTGCTACTAGTAGGGTGGACCAGCAAAATAATCGAGCCCTTTGCATCACATGCGTCGCTTTTGTTGCAGGTGGCCCAAAGGCAGACCACCCGCGCCCAGCAGCTCCGCTTCCACCGTGTCCTGCGCGCGGCGCGGGCGGCGCGGAGCTTGATGCTAGCTGGAGCTGCTTGGAGAGGTGTTGGTGCAACCTGGAAGTCCTGATGGGGTCAAGGATTTGTCCTCAAAGAAATTGCCCGCTCACACAATGTTCCGAGCCAGTGGTTCCATGTGAGTTCAGGGTCATTCTATGTCATTCTGGTGCCATTCTATGTCAGGGGTTGGTCCCCAAAGAAACTGCCCACTGGCACATGTTCCGAGCCAGCCTTTCCAATGTTTGTCCGGGGTCTTTCTGCTGCGTGTGCCGCCAGTTTAAAGGGCAGAAGACACCGCAAGTTCTGGCAACTTGCTTGTTTGAAGAAGGGTAGCCTCAGTTCCTTCGTTGAGTGTCTTGTGTCTTGCATGCAGCTTGTGCAGAAACAAGTCCTGACATCCTTTCGTGCTAGGCCTTGGAAGATTGGAGGGAAACGCCTTTGCAAACCTTGAGTCGGTTGATGCCCATCACGTTTGCTTCTCAAGAGCCACCCAGATGTGCCAGGTGCTGGCCATGCGATTCCCCTCTTCATACTATAGTTCTATCATTTTATTATTGGCTTTATAAGCTTGGCCATAGACTTTCATTTATATTTCTATTATAGTTAGAGATGTCAGAGGCTATGTTAGTGTGAAGGGGAGGGTGCTAAGTTACATTCTGCTGGGCAGACGATGGTGGCATAGCAGCAGTATAAACAGCGCCCATGTCAGGCTGTGATGTCATGCTGGTCCATGATAGCTCGCTTGGGAGTCTTGGATTTAATGCACTTGGAGCACTGGGTGCGGACATCGTTGTGGCTAACTGGCATGCTAGCCACTTTGGTGGATGGGCATTTTGTGTACCCAGAATTAGCCGTGCAGATGTGTATAGACATGTCGCTAGGCCCATCCAAGAGCTTTTGAAAGCCGGTTGCCGGCGTCAAGTCACAGTTTGAAGTGTGTAGACAGAGTAGATGTGGATGGCCTAAACCCTCACGTTAGCCATGAACACACCTGAAGGAAAGCTGTTGGACTCCTTTGACTCCACCTGCAGTGTGTCCATGTGTGTCCACGTATCTCCAAATCAGGTCGGCAGGCTGAGCGCCAAATGTCCTTGATGGTCAGCTCACGTCAGTGGCAGTCGGCAGCCGCCACACGGCTGGCGTCGGGCGGAGATTGGCATAGAGGCATTCATTTTGGATGTCCTCCCTCCCCTGCACGGGTGGGGTCCAGGTTGCTTCTGAGACGTAAAAGGGACAGCTGTTTTTCCCCTGTGGGTTGTATCAGCTTTTGACCTCAAACGCACGAACGGGCATTTTTGGGGTGCTGGGTTGCAAGAGGAGGTGCCTGAGAGGCTCCTTGCTTTGGGCCGGGTTAGTTACGTGACAAGTGGTTCTGCCTGTGCTTTCAGAGTAGATAAATCCCAAAGTTATTTGGACTGCTTGAGATGGGTGGTCTTTACAGAAACACATCTTTGGATTCCATCCATCCATTCTGATCTCACTGTGACAGGGGTTCAGTACTTCGAAGTTCTCGTCCAGGTCGCCGCTCGCAACCACTTCTCCTTGGCGAGGGCATGGCGGTCTTGGGCCGACGTCCTTTTGCGACGACGTCAGGCATTGACTGTGTGAGCTGACTGGGCGTTTGGGGGGTCAGAAGAGGTCTTCTTGCAGCCCCCAGTCCTTGTTCACTAGATTGCTTTGGGGAATGTGATGTGCCCAACGAGAATGGCTCTTCCTGTGGTGCTTTCGGATGGAGATCTTGAACACACACCACTCCGAGTTTTCGGGTGATCTGAAAGGTCCGAGAGGTGATGTTCAATCATCCGACATCAGTGAGATAGGATCTGTGAAACGATGGGTGAACAAAAAACACCTATATGCCATTGTCATCAGGAAAGAACCTATAACATGCCACACCTCAGCATATTTACTTACTTGCACTGGGCATTTGTACCTGTACCGCTGTGTCTCATGCGCACTCCAGCCCGATTTGTTGGGTCAGTAGCCATTGGCAACTGCTCTTGTGCAATGTTTTCCCCTGCCTGCCAGTCAGAAGGCTACCTTCTTGTCAAAGATTAGGGAGATCCCTTATAAGTGCTGCTTTGTTCAAGGTCGGTGAGTAGGTGTACTCTATTGTACTCTGCTAGAGCTGCTAGAGTATATAAGCAGGTCGGGGGCATTTGGAGACCATTTTTTTGGGGCCCTAGGCCTTATTCAAACACAGCACCATCACCCAACCGTGGCAGGCGCGACTCCTGGACCCATTTCTTGGCACAGACCATGGGCTTCTAGTCCGCGCCTCCTGGCCTGACTTGGCATTCCCACCGGCAGACGAACGTGTGGTGGACCCGCGGACCAGCCAGTTCCTTCCGCTTGGTGCATTGGGGTGTCAAACCTTGGGGATCGGGTCCGGAATGATCCTGATATATCCTGATGACTTATTGGCGGTGCGTTGGACAACAGCACAATGAGATGCTAAGTCGACAGCCTGCTGGGGCGACTCTTCTTGGCATTTCTGGGTGGTGCAAGTTGAGTTTCCTGCACCTGTATGTATGGGAAAGTGATGGAAAGTGGCATTCCATATCTGCTTTTTCTCCTGGAGCGAGGGAGGAGGGGACCCAGGCGAGGTGGCGCTCCATCGTATCCTCTTGTCGCACCATGAAGCTCCAACTCTCGAGGCCTTTCGCGGCCTTCAGGCTGCGTGCCGCCTGCGTCATGCGCCACGCCCCAAGCGCCCATGCTTGGAGTTTCTGGGCACGAGGCTCGATTGGCAGTGCTGGGAAGAGACCGGGCACAGGAGAAATCGTTCTCAAAGTCGATGATGAACATGAATCCTACAGTGGTTTCAGGCACCCTAAGGTGTCTTTTAGATGGGGTCCTTGCAATTGTGAAAACAACCTTTTGGGATTATTGTGGTTGTGCCATATATACTCTGAAACCGCTGTATATCTATACACTCTGAAACCTGACATGCTTTTGCAATGCTGGAGCAAAGACCCCAAATTCACTTCATGTCTTGGATCTTATCCCACATCCATCCTATGTGGGCATCTGATCAGTAGCCACTGTAGCCACATACTTGATATGGGGGAGTAGTCGAGCATTCAATTTACAACTTAACTGTTCAATGTTCAGAGGGCCTTACCCTTCTGCATCACCATCATCACCTCCTTTGCTCAAAGCCATGCTGCCATCATTTGCCATCCATGGGCTACAGAACGCTAACTGTAGGTGACTACTGTTGCCCTCCCTCCTTGGTAAATGGTTTCTTTAGAGGTGTGGATTTGAAAACTCTGAGTTCACGGTCCCCGAGTGACAGGGGTTTTCACATCGCCTCCTCCCCCAAACTCAGCCAGCAATCTCAGTCGTCTGCCCCGAGGACGGTGCGTCTCAGCATTTGCGAGGATTGGTGGCTGGCACGGCTTGCCTGGGACCAGCTGCGTCACTCGGAGCGTTGAAACACATCAGAGGAAAGGAAAGATAGGAAAGGGGAAAGGCGCGAGGGCCCAACTTTGGACCAGGTTTTGGCCAAGAAGGTTTTTGGAGCCAAAAAAGGTTTAGTATGGTTTAGTGTGTTTTGTTGGGATCTATAATCTAATCTAGGATGATGATCCCATGTTGGGGGGAAGCTGTGCGAGTTCAGAGAATTCGGACGTTAGTTAAAGAGTGTGAGCTTTTCTGCGTTAGTCAGCGGAAAGAATGCAAATGGCCAGAATTGCGACGAAAAAAACGAGTTGTGGAAGGTTCCACGTTCTTTCTACTCCATGATGTTCAACCTTTATGAGTTCACTTGCATAGGCCCTGATCGCTGCCCCTCCCATGTCAGAGGTGTTCCAACAAATAAGCAAAATAAGTGGTTTCCGACACACTGATCAACCATTTGACCGATGTTACTTCAGATGGGACGCATTCAATGTTCATCTAGCCATCTCTTGTTTTTGTCAACGGGGCCGTGGCGACAAAGGTTATCAGGCCCTGGACTCCAAGTGTCAGCGACTTCACCGAGAAGCAGGGGAGCTTTCACAGCAGCTTCTGGGCAGCGAAGTTGCGCATCTTTCGAGCCAAGATGTTTTGGAGTTGCTGGGGGATCGAAGGAGGTGTGTGCATGCTGTTTGCATGCTGCGAATGCATGGCTTTTGGGGGTGATTTTCCATGGTGAGAAACACATGGAGGTGATCGTGACGTATCCTCCTACGGCCTTAGGCGCCCATCATGGGTTTGGAAATGTGTTGCTAACACAAGCTGGACACGGAAATAAGGGTAAAAAGACATGGACATACTTGCCATGTCCTAGTAGTTGCTCGCCAAGACGGGCTCACGGATAAAACAACGACACGAGTCCATGTCCGTGGGATGTTCATCGAGAGTTGGGCAACCATAATTCAAAGCACCTCAAATAATGACACATCGTGCATCACCGGTGTTCTAGTGGATCGAATAGCTTCCTTTATCTTGTATATATGTGCAACCTAGTGTGTAAGGTAAATTGTTTTTTGGCAGGCTTCTTGTGGTGAATGCCGGCCAGCCGCCAGGTTCAACGACCTCCAAAGCTCCAAGGGTTTGCTACAGCACCGCCTGGAGCTTTCCCTACGCTCCTTGGACGTCGGTCTTGACACGTGCGGAAGCACAGGGTGGGCGGTGGTTCGAACAGGGAGGTGAAACTGCTGAAAACCGATTGAGATTAGGAGAGTTACCTCCAGTCTGTAGGTTCCTACCATTTCCGGTGTTGAGTGGATTCGTTGATTCCAAGCTACGGCTACGGTGGGTTGACTGTTTGGGGTGCAAATCTGACCATTCTTCACATAAAGGTGAGCAGCCTTGGAAGGAGCGAGGGGATAGCTGCGCGGGCTTGCAGCAGTTGCAGAGGGGCACAAAAGGCTAGTGCGGCTAGTACTTGAGTATATTCTATTAATTGTAGTGGTTTTGTTGGGGCTTAGCTGCCCATGGACGGTCTTCACCGCTCTCGGTCTTCGGTCCTCCTAGGTCTTCACCAGAAAGGTCAGGAGCAACAGCTGCTTTGGTGCCTTGCCCACTCAGACGGTCGACATGGCTGGGCCACGGCTGGGCAGCTGCAGTGGCAGCTGCCATAATCGACTGTGTCGGGTCGTTTCGAATTCCCTAGGGCCCTAGGGGTTGTGGCACCATTGGTTTAATGAGCCTGAATCCTCCAACAAAAACATTGTTGTGATGAGGGTTTTACACACGACAAGGCCAGCTCAACCAATCAAAAAAAGGTCTTTGAAGGCTAGGGTATTGTCATGGCTTGGAACCGCCGCATGTGTTCCCCGATGCGGCCGTGTATGTACAGAATCGGCCGTGCAACATCGACCCCAGTCTATCCATGATTCGCATTCAGAAGCAGCAGCAGCAACTGTAATTTGTACCCGTGCTGCCTGACATGCTGAAGGAACCAGGTCAACTAGCCCTAAGTGGTGGCTTAATGGGATGAACAACAGGGCAAGAGATTAATCACTCTCTTGCTGATTGGGGGTGGCAAACTTGCACATAGCGGTGAATAATGACCAGCTACCCCGAAGACATGAAATAGGACACACAAACATGCGATGGGCGATGGGCTTGTCCCCTGGGACGGCGGCGGTTTTTAGGTGGCAGGTGAGACACTGACAGAAACCTTTTTGAATGAAGGTTTCCTTAGGAAATCTTAGCAATATTCCGGAATTATGAGCCGGAAAAAGCATTCCTTCAAAATGTCTTTGTGAACTGCAGGTTTTATGTGGAATTGAAATGACTTTCAAGGCTTCCTGGACTGGAGGAGGAGGGAATTCCTCCGGCAAAGGCCAATCTGACAAACACATGGCGTGAACACGTGTGGTCACATGTGTTAGCTGAGAAATCGCGCAAACTCATCTTGGAAGTTTCATGCCAGAACTGGATATTTGGCTTTTGGTCTTTGAAGAAAAACACCTACCCCCAGCAAGGTGCTGCAGCCCGATCCTTAATGCCTGGCAGCAAGCAACTTGTATGAATGCAGAGACGCCGAGACGCTGAGACATTGACAACCAGGTACCCTTTGACTCACTGGAAGTGGAAAACCACCTGTTTGTAGAGTTTGTTGTATCTTTTTTTCTATTTCCATGTTAGTCAGTCGGAGTGTTAAAGGTCTTGGTTCCTATACCGTTGAGGTGGCCCCGGCCAGATCGTGTGGCAGATCGTGCATTCTATTTAGATCTATTTAATAGGGAGGCCTCCAACCAACAATGAATAGACTGGTCTGTTTCAATTCCCTTCTTCCACTGGGTCTATGTTACTAATACACACCCATTTGGTGGTCACCCATTATGCAGCACACGTCGTGAAGAAAGTGAACCTGTCTAGCACCATCATACGTAGACTTTACCTATTTGGACACAACATCATGCATCTTCCAAAGACAGGCCGTTTGTTCTTCTGACGCCAGGGTGCAGAGGGCGGACAACAAATCCCAAAGGTCAACAGTCCAACCTTTGTGTCCACGTGCAGAAAGAAGAACAGCATCATCACCAAGAGGGTCAACTGATCTATATGTCTTCCCCCAGCTGTGTGCTCCTGAGGTTGTCGTATCTGTACGGCTGCGGATGCGTCAGAGCACTCGCAGTGCCTTCGCGCCTGCAAGAGCTTTGGTCCCTGGGTCTGGTATTAAGAGGCTACCTTTGTCATGTACCGATTTGAAGACATGCCGCGCGGGGAGGTTGTTCTTGTTTCAGGTTGGTACATGCACTCTAGCGCCCATGAAAGTCGGACTTGCGAGCACGAGGGCTCATTACTCACGAAAGGAACCAAAACATGCCGCACATCTTTGGGAATGGCCATGGTGCTTCAACGAAGGGCCCAATCAAAGGTCCTCCCTTGAGATCATGAGCTGCCGCTCATGCAAGCTCCGTCACAAGAGGGTGATTTGGGCAAACTCAGTTTTGTCTTCCATTGGTTGTTAAGTTGTTAAGTGATGCTAAGTGGTTGAACTCTGAGTTCTAATAGTTGGTGGGTTTGACGAGTGTAGGGTGTCCTCTACAAAGAAGTCAAGTGAAATACTGAGGGTCCATGTGGTTTGTTGCTTGTTGGGGCCCTCTTCGACAATGCTATTATAGTGAGGCAAGATAATTCTGAAAGAAACACCGGAAGGAAAGGAAACAGGAATTCGCTCTTGAGATCGGTCATAGGACTTTCATTCATGAGGCTCAGATGCGGCTTGGCTTTTGCGCGTGGAAGGCCGACTATGAGATTCTGTGTGGTTCGGGGTTTGCAAAATGACTTTTCTCATTGGCGGCTGGCAAAGGTGGAGAAAGAATCTGTTTGCATATCATCTGTGCAACTTTGTGGACGCATGTTTGGGGTGCCTGATGCACCACATATACACAAGTGTTGCAGATGATAAGTTTCAGACTATTTGTTGCTTATATAGTGGTTTGCTCCATGTGGCGCTGCAGACTTACCAATCATGGCTACTCACAGGGTTGGTGTAGGACTAGTCACCTAGTCACCTTTGTGCTCAAGAGGCGCAGTGTAGGATTGGCAGGGGTTTTTGCAGTATCTTTGGCAAACCCTCCAAGCTTGAAGGACTATGTATATACCATGATTTGCCTACATCGCGCTTCCTACATACCTCCCTTTGGCATACTCTTAGGCCTTAGCCCCTTGGCTCAGAGCCTGCGTCCTATTGGTTTACTTTTAGCCCCTTGGCATATGATATACCTACTCTTAGGCCTGCGCCTTTCGCAACACGGCAGGCGTGGTGCTCCATTTTCAGGGCTGCTTGGGCGATGAGTCGAACGCAGGACACCGGGGAAGGGGTCCATTTGTTTGGAGAAAATGGGAGAACTCAGCATTCCAACCTTTGACATCCCAGAGAGTCCAACCTTTGACTCATTGTGCTTCTTCGGGGAGTGGTGGATGATGACTGCCAGGGTGGGGTAAAATGAGCCATTGGGAGTTCAGGGCATGTTTGGTTGACATAGAGGAACCTTTGATGAAGGGACTAAGGGGTCACCAAGGTCTGGAACCAAACATGTTTGTTCTTCCATTGGCATGTCGGAATGGGCGCGCTTGGTTCTTAACATGTCAAGACAGCAGATGGTTTTGACTCGCTTTGACCTATCTTTGGAAGCAAGCGAGCTGGCAAGCTCGGGGGGGTTGACATGTTCGAACCAACACGATCACCATGCACCTATCGGGTGAGTCACTGCCTCGATGCTTGGACGAGCTGATCAAGGGGGCCGCAGCTCGTCCATCCTGCAAGATGACAGTCATGTGATAAGCCTGGAAGAACACACTCAGAATGCTCGCTCCAGGATCGTAAGACCTGCTCCTTAATGTTGCCGCAGCCTTAGTACGTTGCAAAGCACTGACCGGCTGGTTTGGGAATGCCCAGATGCTCCGGCATGCTCCGACACTCGTTTGTCCTAGATTTGGGGTCATTCAGGTGGTTTTGGTTGCAAAGGTAGATGGGCTTCGTGTGTCCATGCACATGCCCCTGATTCATAGGGGTTCTATACAAGCCCCGTTGTTGAAGAAACAATATCAGAAGTGACAGACATGGACGTGAACTTTAGCTATGCCCTGAGAAAAAAAAAGTGCCCTCTTCACGCCGGAACCATGATTGTTTGGGGATGTGTCGCCAGCGGTTTCGAGCGAGTCTGGCAGCTTGCTGAGTCTGCGTGGGGTCCATGGTTCTTGGAAAACATGAGCGTCGAGCGTTGTTTGGAGGAAGTGCGAATCTTTGTCTTCCAAACATGTTCAACCCTACCTGAAGTTGCTCAGAAAAAACACCTCTATGACACGATGAAAAGCGCACGAACTGCTCACTTGGCAGTTGCTCGGTTTCGTCATGATGTCATGATCTCCAGTGACTCGGTCGTCTCCAGGACCATGCTCCACTGATCATCTCCTTGTGGGAAGGCCATGTCCACGGTGAACTATAGGACAATATCTCCAAGGCCAGTGGAGCTCACATGGTCAAAAGGACGACTTTTCTATGTAGTTTGGATGTACCAGCCCTACTGACCACGGCCATATGTTCAATCTTGTTCATTTACCCAATAGATTCTTGAAAAAAACAACATTTTGGATGGTAAAACATCTTCGTTCGGAGGGTCTTTTCTGTACATCGCTCCACTGAGGCTCCGCTGGTCGCAGTGGCTGGCACACCTCAAGCATCGAGAGGCCCGCCGTTCCGCCGAACTCGGCGCGAACTGTCCGGCGCGATGTTTGTTGTAACTGCCCTGCCCTGAAGGAAATTGCATGAACCCCCTACCAATCTCCAAGGATTGACGATCTACCAATCGCTCGTTCGTCAATCCTTTTCCTTACATGAACTTACTACCTACTCCAATCTCCAAGGATTGGCGAGCGAGCCTCACTGCTCGGCATGCCATCAAGATCATCCATGTTCCAATCCCAAGCAGGACACACACAACCACCTCAACATGCCAAACCGTTTCCATGGATTCATGGAGCCTACAAAAGAGGCTGATAAGGATGCAAGAATATAGACTCCTGATCAATTATAACTATAATTAGTGCAACCTCCCTTATGAAGATGTTTTACAATCCAAATGAAAGGGAGTCTTATTAATCCCGTATCAGCTTAAAGTTTAGAAAATCGGGGCCACCTAGAGTGCAACTCAAAATCGAATGCCTGAACCAAGCTCGCAGGAGCTGCGGGACGTGGCGTTGCGTGGCTTGGCGTTGTTGGAAGACATGAGATCGGGCAGGTTCGTCATGGTTCGTTCCAACAGCAGAGCCAGGTGAAGGTCCAAACATGCAGCGGAAATGATTTCAGTTTGCGGGCGGTGATTTTGGCATGGTCCTTGCACAGCCCAGCACTGAGGTGCCGCAAAGGCTTCACAGCTGTTGTTACTCCAAAAGCTGTTCTGCCACTGGTGCGCCTCGGTCTTCCAGTGGCGAGGCCGTTGTTCCATGGCCGTTTCGAGAAACTGGAGGGGCCAATGCATCTCAGTTGTGGGCAGACCTTGCTGACTTATGGTGACTGGTTGGCGGACAGGCCTAAAGGCCCTAAAGTTCCGGAAGAAACCCGATGAAACTGAACACACAAGAACACCTCAGAAGTGTGACGTCCTTTTGTGTCCTATAGTGTCCTCAAGCTTGGAGACCAGGAGCGTCGATCCCCCAACCCATGCCGCGGACAAGCTCATGCCGGCGGCCCACCTGTTTGAGGGTACTTGGCCAAAAGCATAGCCACCGTAGAAGGGTGCCCTCTTTATGCATCCTTTGATCATCTTTGTATTGGATCACATGGTGGTTAAATGTTTTTAGATACAGTACGTCCCTCCGACTTCACTGCCTATGACAGGCCGTGACGGACAGGGACCGCAAGTCACGCTATATACAGTACGTAGCAAGGCTCTGGCCCTGTCACCCGGGGCCAGAAGGACTTCAAAACCGAGTCAATCCGATCGTTCGATCGAGGCGCAGTTCTCGCCAACGTCAACCAGCACATTGCGGTTCTTCGAAGGAGGGCGGTTTTCCGCCGGACTGGTGGGGCGCTGGTAGGGGAGGTTCTAGAAACAAAAATGTAGAAGAGGGTTGACGGAATGGGTGCGCTTGGACGTTTAGACAGTGGCCGGCCTCAAATAGATTCAGCCTTTTTTTCAAGATATGCTTTTCTACAAGCAGGTGCATGGAAGTGGACCTGAATTGGCTGTAGCTCATCATTCACTTGATGCAGTTGAGGCGGACATAGACTAGCGCACAAGCCAGAAGCCTTTGAACATGCCAGTGACCAACAAGAAAAAGCACCAACTTTGGCAATTGCAATGGGTCAGATCCCCAACATGTCTTTGCTGCCGGCGGTAATTTGCTGTTTTGCAGCGATCTGGCAGGAATGCCCTGGCTGCCACTCGGGAGCCTTGGAGCGGGTGTAGGAAGCGTTTTCGACCCAGCGGTCTGGTATGGTCTGGTCACTGAGTGTGGCCATCCCAACTAGTACTGTTCAGCGAATGTTTGCTACCAAGATTTAGGACTCGAAAGTTACCTCTCTGACCACGAGAAGGATGTTTCATCCAAAATAGTTAAATAGTTGGTTGGTGGAGGGTGATGTTCAACTCAGGCATGACATACACCAGGTTTTTGCTTAGGGTGTTTTTCAATGTTTTCATGCTCCCCATGGGTGGCCCCCGGGGAAATATGTTTATGTCTATTTGCAGCAGATCCATATACGTGCAAAAGATGTCAAGCCAGTTTTTGGATAGCTCCAAATCAATACTCGACGACCATCCCATCATGTGAGAAAGCTCCAGACCCAGCATGAAGCATGAGCAGAGGATGAGTGCCAGAAACAAGGGTACCCAACAGGGCAGCCCGAAGTTCTTAAGATTACATAAATCGAAGCTCTAAGATTTGATCCAAAGTTCCAAATCCATAGGGTCCATGTAAGCAAATATGGCCTACATTTCGTGGTTGGTCATATGTTTGCCTAGATTGATCCTTTGGGAAAGGAAGTAGATGTTTTGGACAAATTCGGGGCATTCGTTCGGCATGGCGACATGGAACTGCTGGATTTGTCACTTTGACCATTTGTCCGGTACGGTATTGATATGTATTGATGATTTGCCCTGAAGATCCTTCTCACAACTCCGCGGATGATGGGCCGGCATATTCACTTGGCCGCTCCTCCCGCTGGGTCCTCCAGTCCGGACTTCCCGTTCAACACGGAGCCGCCGTGCTCGCTGGCCCTGAGGATCAACATGAGACACAGACCCAACTGCAGCTGCTGTGGGCTTTATGGCGGTCCTTCGTGGGGTGCTCAGCGGAACTGTCAATCGGAACTGTCCGAACCAGGGGTCCGCCAAGCATTGTGGCTTCCTGCCAGGGTTTCACTGATTCTGGCTTGGCCAGAATCCGGGTACGTGTTCATGCACGCGGACCGTGCTGTTTTTGTTGTGTTTTGTTTGTTGAATCTAATGTTGCTCATGTTCATGTAGAGTGTGATGTTGCAATCAGGGATCTAATTAGTTTGCACAAAACAACCCAGAAGTTGGACGGCACGTAAAAGTAGGTCATGTCGCATGTCATTGGAAGCGTGTTTTGTGAATGAGATCCCACTGATTGAAGGGCGTCTATGTTTCACATCATAAAGCTTCCACATGCCCCCGCCGAGTTGGGCAAAGAAATCATGTTCCAAACTCCTCCAGCCAGAAGTGGCGTCAAATTTGCAATTATTGTGAAATGGTCCCCAGCCCACCCTCGATTGATGGAGACTGGGAGGCCAAGTGGCAGCAAAGTGAGACGCTGCACTTGCAGCAGTTGGAGGCCAGATGTCTCTGCGCTTTCGAAGCATCATCAATTCAGAGCAGGCGCCAAGAGTTACCACCAAGAAAGCCTTTTGATACGCTTAACAATCTCCAACAAGAGCAAGTCTCGCCTCCTTTGCACTCATAGTCTCATAGTTGGCTTTTGACCCCCCTACCACCACGACCTTCGCCCGTTCCAACATCGCCAGGCCTCTTGGGCCAGGCTTACGGCCGCCCATGTCGCCCGCCGCGCGGCCGGCGTTCTCCAGAGCTGGCGCCGCTGGCTCCACTGCGTCCAAGCTCGGCGTCAGGCAGGGCCGCCGTGGCGCGTTGTGTGGGTGGCGCATTTGGTAGCACACAATTACAATGCAAAAGCACTTAAGGGTGGATGGGGAGGGTCTTAAGAAGTGGAGGTCTAGGGGCATAGGGTTTTTAGCGAGCGTGAGTTTCAGAAGGTTTTGAGGTGCAAACGTCTCTTTTGCCTGGGCTGGTTGTGTTTGCAGAGTGGGTGGGAGTTCCTAAAGGGGAAGAATATGGAAGAATGGTATGAAAATGCTTTCGGCTGGCTGTGGTCTGTGTGGCCACTGCACACACATGCCATCACATGCCGCGCTTATATCAGATGGATACATATGGCACCATCACTTGGAATCTGGCACGCCTTCAAATGTCCAGGATTGCATCAATGGTGCCGGCCGCCCTGTCAGGTTTCAGCGGCGTTGGCCCTCAAAGTGTCGAGCACTGGAGGCAGGGCGTCCCGTAACGGAGTGAGGGCCAATCGATTTCAGCATGGCCAGTCCCATGACTACCATCAATCTGTGGATTGAACCTCAAGAGGTGCTAGTTTCAACGAATGAATTGCAATATTTATATATATATGTGCATATCAATATATTAAAAACTATATATATATATCTTTAAGATGTTGTTGTGTTGGCTTTTGCCATTCTCAACTAGAAAGCTCAATTTGTCAACCCATCCGAGGTACTTCAGCACTTCAGGACCCACCGGATCTTCGACGGCCTTTTTTACACCTTTTGCACCTCCTGCCCCGGCCGCCCCTTCACACCCCATGTTGTTGGCGCTCGAAAAGCCTTCCGTGCAACGATCTCAAAGAAGGCCAAGTAATGGTCATCATCACCAACGTGATGGTGACTGTAATGATGGATGGTGATGGTGATTACTCACCATCCCCATCGAGTCATCAACATCCACCATCCATCAGCAACGCGATGATGAAGCTTCTCCATGCCACACCTTCACCCCCGGTTGGGAGTGAACCGACCGCTCTGCCACCCGATCTCGTTTGTTTGAAAGCAGGCCAGGGTGTGGGGCGGTGCTGGAGAGCTTGGACCTCACGCGCCTCCAAAAGGCTCGCTGGGACCGCAGAGAGCCACCGGGCCGCCGGGTGAAGTGGACCAGTGGAGTGGAGTCGAACGCATGATCTCGGCGGCAGAAGTAGGACTGACATGGACTGACCAGGTTGGGTGGTTCCAAAGTGGGACTTCGAGAAGTGTCCAGTTTTGGGACTTGGGTGACTTCGAGAACTTCAAATTTCGCTGCAAGCTTGCACTAGGATTGAACTGGCCGCCCCAGAATCGGCTTCTGCTGTTATTATAGATTCGCAGATAGGAGGGTTGATAATGAGTTGAGTCGCACTTTCTCCCATGCGTTCTCATGAGAAAAATGCAGCCGCATTTGAGAATTAGGACCTGCTGGAAGCCTCCTGACGTTGGGTTGATCCTGTTCACTGGTTGCCTGCAGCAGTCGGCTGAAAGATCCATAGATTCGTGACCGTTTATTGTCCACAAGAATTCAGTGATTAGAAATGTTCCTTGGATGGTCCCATTGCTACATTTCTTTTTAAGCGCATTCCTGTCACACCCTGTCTTTAAAAAGAATCATTGCCCATCCAAGAGCCTATAGTAACCAACGGTTAGTAATAAGGAGGTTTGCCCAACAGATCCATTTTGATTACTTAGTGATACACCTTTTCACCTACCCTCAGAGTGTCCCTGTCAAACGGCTGGGCGCCAGCCAGACTCTGCAGAGAGAGAGAGAGAGTACCGTACTCTATAGTACCATGTAGCTTCAGATCTACCATTAAGCATTGTATGGACCAGTAGGCCGTGCTTCCCACAAATCAAACGCATCTCCCACGCGTACCGCATACGTGAGCGCTCAAATCAAGGCGCAAGCTGCGGGAGAGATTGCTTCGATGGAGCTCGGGTAAGGTCTTCCAGACACTGAGGCCGGGCTGCTGAGGCCGGATGTTGCTCCAAGTAGGATAGGAGTGATCATGGGGGGTATGGAGCTCATCCATGCTCATCCCCTTGTAGAGGATCATCCACTTTCCGCAACATATGAGTTAGAGTGTTGTAGAGTTCTTGTTTACTCGTGAACAATCGCCATTTTTTAGGACTGGTGGCCGCTCGCTTGCTCCCATGATCCAATGGGCCCAAGCTGGGAGCAGGGCCACTTAAAATGGTGAATTACTGGACTGAATGGAATCAGTGGTCGCCCCCTAGACCTTTGTTGTCGAACCACCAGATGCAGGATATGAACCCTGCTGAGATGCCTCAAGCAAATGGTCCAATGCCATCGAAATTGCAAGCAAAGATCCATAACAACTACTGTACCTACCAAAATCCTATCCAGTTGCTTTGCACCAATAGTAGTCCCAAGTCTATCCATGTTGTGCTTTCAAGGTCCTTCTGGCATGCCTGGCGCGTTGGTCACTTGCAGTTGATGCCAATGCGACGCCGGAAGCAGTGCATCAGCTCCTAGGCAGACGTCAAGGGGTTTGCGCGGAAAAAGCGAAGGTTCTCCCGCCACATGCTGGGTTTTGGCACATCTATATACAGCCAATTGATGTATGCTTACTTACTGACGATTTGATGAGCAGTCACTTAGCTAGGGGTTGTAGTGCTGACTGGGGCACAATCAAAGCACACGTACTGCTCGCGAAAGCTTGAGATTTCTTGGGGGCATGAGCACCACCAAGAGTCCACAGCTCCAGGGGTTGGCTGCTTTGATAAACTGCCTCGCGAATATGAGCACACGACGGTGAACCTAGAAGTATCATGAAGTATATGTTTATCGTAATGTGCAGACATGGATTGCAGAACGGCAGCGGGGAGATATTGACCATGTCAACCCAAAATGGTTTGGAGGCTGACTGGCTGCTGGATTGAGGGAGCAGAGCCTAAAAGAAAGGCAATTCTGCTGTTCTGAGACTGGTGGTTATAATCGTTTGCAGACCTGTATGTATGTAAATATCTGTGTGTGATTATGCGTGCGTGTGTGAGTGAACACCTTGCCTTTGCGTGTTCTTGGTGCATGGCGGACAGAACAGCAAGAAGACAGAGACCAGATGGACCACAGTACCATCAAACCTATTGAACTGCTTCTGGCGTACTTCCCATTTGTATCTATGCCCCTGCCACTTACATGGCCAACCTCTCCCACCAAAACAGTTGCTTAGATAGTGACAGCCATGTGCCCCATGATTCTAACTAGCTACTGGACTGATTCGTGTCCTCATGTTGCCAAAAGAGTTGTCAACATCTACTAGAAGCAGTTCGTATGGTCATCCAAAAACCACTTAAAATCCATCCATGCTTCATAGTTCAGTTCCACTTCCCCGACCCCTTTTTGGAGCCTTTGCTTTCCTTACGCCGAGGCACTCGCGTCCTGCGCCGCTCGGCGGATCTTGCCTGGCTGCGGCTCGTGCTGTGGACGTGGTCCACCAAAGGCGCGGGCGAAGCCCGGCTGCGCCCGGAATCGGTGCGCCGAGGGGGTTAACATCTGCTGACGCCTCGGGGGATGTTGCGGAAAGCCGGTCCAGATCCCTCTAGAGCTGACCGTGGTCCGACATGGAGTCCTGCCAAGGCGCGGCACTTCTCACAGAAACAGGTTAATTAGTCCTTCCTTAGAAAATCGTGGAGGGATTGGTCACCAGTTGGTGTTTGGAGAAGGGATCCGAACATATCCGAACATCGTTTACCTCATACCTCGTATATTATGACGAGAACCGGTGACAGGGTGTACAAGGCAGACGTAGATGTTAGACGAGGAGAGTGAAGCCACCTGGCACTGCATTTGTTTCACCAAGTCGAGGACACTGAGTGTTCTTTGATGTTCTTTGCTTTGACTCTTCATTCACTTCCCATTATCTTCCCAGATTTGCTTGACTTCTTCATTTGCGTTCTTCTTTCACTTCCCATTGTTAAAGTGAAAAAACAGCCATTCACTTCCCATCTGCGGATGGGCACCCGGCCGGGACTTGGAATTCGCCCCCTAGGCCGTCGAGATCGAGCTGGACCTACCCGGCTGGTGCTGCATGCTTGGTGGGGCACTCGTTTTTGAGCGCTGCGCGTCTATGCGGACCCGTTGGGTCTCAAAACCGTGGGCTCCCAGCGTCCCGTCGCGTCCGGTCGTCAAACCACCCCGGGTCGTGCATCGCTTTCGCCTCGCCTTTGGAGATCGATGGAGTTGAGAAGTCAATCGATGCTGACAGCCCAGGACGTCCGGCTTCCCGCTGGCTCCACCAGGGGAAGAACCAACGCGCTGAACTTGGGGGTCATGATACGTATGAGCTAAAAGAAAAACAGGCACAAACAACGAAGCAAACAGCTGACGGATGCAAATGGATGCTAACGCCATCTAACTGAATCTAACTAACGCCCACCCAGCGCCGACAACCTCCAACAGGTTTGGGGCCCTGAGAAGAGAGGACCCTTTGGCCAGTTTTCGGCGGCTTGTGGCCCGGAAAGATCTAGGTTTGGAAAATTTACCTCGTTCCAGGTGAAGGGTACTTACACCTGTTGCTTGGTAGCTCTTTCTGGAGTGTATTCACAGCTTGCAGGCTCAGGTACGATGTGTTTTTTCCTCCTGTTTCTTCCAACCTTTGTCCAGATCTCTCTCGCCGCCTTGGATCGTCCTCAGATGTCCGTCTCCAGGCACTGCAGAGTTCTTCAGCTCCGCAGCGCCCGCAGTGCGCGGCATCAGCGAAAACAGGCACTCACGGGGGATCGACCGAACAGATCGACCGAACGGGATCAGCTGGAACGAGGAGGAAGCTGTTGAGGAGGAAGCTGCGGCTGAAGCACGGAGCTGTTGATTTCTTTTAAAGATCTTCTTAAACACCCTGGCCGTTTTTGTTCGCCCCACTGTGCTTGATACAAGGCAAAGCAGCTTTGTTCAAAACTGCTAGGGCAGTTTAAGCTTCCGAAATGGATATGCATTTGAATAGGGAGACAGTTTTGTTCTACAATCTAGTTCCCTTCCTCCAGGAGGCCTTTGGGAGGTCTCTCTATTTTAATACACACCCAAGTCGAGAGATGGTGTGCATCCAATCGTTCAAGCTGACTATGCCAGGCCTGTGCCATCCTGGCCGCACGACACCAGAGGCATTCGCTGGTTCTGTGCTTCTACATCCTACGTATGGCAACTTGGCACAATTGAAAGTGGTCGAGATCTACGCGGGTGCGGCCGGTATAGCATACACTCGCGCCAGCCAATCACATTCATCAAAATTCGGATCTAGAATTGATAACACGCAAAGTTTGCGGATAATGATTCCGTTTCAGGTTGAATGCAGTAATGTAGTGTGTGTGTAGTGTGTTCCTTGGCTTAATCCAGTAGGCATGTTTTGGACATGAGGTGAACAAGGAACTCCTGGGCGTTTTCACTGCCATCTCAGGTCTGATTTGTGATCAGTGATTAGTAGCATGATGATATAGTTCCCCGAGTTCTATGGGCTGTGTGAGATCCCTTCACCCCTTTCAATTCCAAAGCGCCAAGTCAAGGCACGTCTTTGCCCGCACACACCGCCATTGATAGCTCGTGCCGCACCACCAGGATGCTTTGCTGAGCCGCGTGGCAAAAGCACAGGATCGCCTCGCAGAGGCCTCGGGAGTGCGTTTGGGGTGCCGGGTCTGGGGCGCCTTGGGTCTTCGTGTGTTCGTGCGTGACCTGTGCGGCACTGTGATTTGATGGGACTGGCTTGGATATGGGAGAAAAGAAAAAAGGGCACAGACATCCGGCAGCGGCGAAGCTGGCGTGAAGTAGTCCAGAAGCTTTGAAGTGAGTGACTTATGTGAAGCCTGGGGTCTGAAGTGTTTTAAGGAGTTTTTGAGGTTGGCTACACCCGGTGTCTAATGTAGAAAAATTGGCACGATGGAGGACTTTGTAAAGACCAAATCGGGGTCTGAAGTGTCTTAGATGTGTCAACTCCAGTATTTGAAGGTGGCTTCGAATGTTATAGATATACAGATATTCATGCCGCATTCATGCCCCCTTTCGAAAGACGGAGTGCCATGCTATGCCAAGCTTCAAGCCAGGTTTTGGACAGTTTAGTAGATGCATGTTCCAACTCACGGTTTATCGAAAGAAAAGACTGCAGCTGTGGACAACCTGCAATGGAGCTCACTCATTGGTGGAGAGGTCCAGTTTATATAGTTGGATTACTGCCAATACACCACTAGGACAAAAGTTGTTCTTCTCAAAGGTTCCAAATCAACGTCCCCTCACACGGTCGAATGTCCTCCCTCCACAGCTGTTTACGCTGTTTATATAATTGTAGATTTAAAGAGAGGGTGACAATTGACCGTCCCACACTGACCACGCGAGGCTTGGACTTTTCTTTCGACCGCGGCTGATCCACATATAGATGATATAAGACCTGGTGAGATGACGAAAACATTCTTCCTCCTGAAGCATGGCCACTGGAGACTCCAGAGTCCCATGAACTGAACATGCCCAAAACTGGATGCCCAGAGCGCGTTGGCCCCCTTCTTGCGCTGTTGGTCTTCAAGAGCTGGTTGGGCCGTGGCGCCCCCCCCTGCCGCAATCCTCCTGAGTCACCAACGGTTTAGTCCACATGGCCAGGTCAGAAAGCAACAACTGCGGCAAGAACGGCTCTGGGAGGAGACGAGGCGCGAAGAATGTTGTTTTTTCTCACTCAGGTTTCCATGGGATTTCCCCCTACACTCCCTGAAACCATCATGGACATGGACAGTTATAATTGTCGCTTTTTGGATGGTGCCCATATTTAATTAATCTTTGGGCTGCAGAAGTTCTGAAAAGCCATTGGCAAAAGCAGGTTTGTTGTGGTGGTGTGGTCCTTGATGTCAGACGTCGAACAACATGCGAGGATTTTGAGGTCAGGTTTGGAGCTATCCTGGTTTGGGGAATCAAGTGGTGATAGATTCCTGTGGTTGAGTCCTGGTAAACCGTTGCTGACTGGGACGTCATTTGCTCAGATTCATTTTGGTGAACTTGATGCACGCCTGCATTGCTAGTGACTCTCCCTATGCTAATGTTGACAACTATAGCCTATTGATCCTTGCCGCTTTCTCATGTTGTTTCACTTTGTAGTGTGGTGTCAGTTGTGTTTTCACGAAGAACCCAAAAATTGATGTATGCCCCTTTTTGGCCTGTTTGCTGCGAAATCTCACACGGCGATTTTACTCGTGCGAAAACGTATGCGCTTGGCGAAGAAGCGGCAAGCACGGGCCCAGAAGAGGTCACAACACCTGAAGTGTTGGCCTTTTCGGGTGTCCACTGGCGACAGAGCTCCTAAGAAAATGGAACATCACATAATCTTTGAAGAACAGGTCCTTGGGTCCTTGACCTTGCTGAAGAATACTTGCTCAGGGCCAGGCACATGGCGCCCCTCATATACTTCTTAACCCCCAGAGCTTTTGGCCGCCCTGTCTTACAAGGCGCCAACGCGCCGCCCGCAACCTCGAGGAGATGCGATAGAGTTCGGAGGACACTTCAGATAGCTGGTTAAGACCCAACCTGTGGCAGATGATTATCCTTTTGGTAGTGAATTCTCTTCACCTCAGGGACCGCGGATGTTCTTCGCTTCAGTGGATTTTGCGGATGGCCACTTGTTCCACCATGGGCTGCCCCTTTTGGCAGACCGTCCTTCTGACATGCACATGGGTGATCATCGGTGAGTACCAAAGACTTGGTAGAGTATGGAGTGGTCAGTTCACATTGCTGAGATGATGACAGTTCAAGAGCCTATACCAAAAAAAAATAAATCTAAGTTAATCTAAGTGTGTAAATTGAATAGAGGGAGACCTCCTGGCCCTGGCTGGGTAGACTGGTCATGACTAATCAGCGGTCGCTTATTTTCCTTCCAGGAGGTGTTTCGGAGGTTCCTCTATTCAAGAACAAACCATTGCACACCCAAGTGGGCAACGAAAAGAACTTGACCGGAGAAGCGCGACGAGCTTCGAATCCGGTAGTGGCACGGCTCAGCTTATCATGCTAGTCTTTTGGAACTGACATCTATTCCAATTCAAAAGAATTGATAGGTTTCTTGCTTGGCCAAGCCAAGCCCTCTCAGAAATGGGTTGCTCCCCAATCTGTTCTTGGAAGATGAGTGCTTTAAGGATAGGCGCAGTTTGTCTACAAGGTTTCCGGCCACACGATTGAAGCTTCTCTTGAAGAGCAGCTGGTGAATGGTGCCACAGGAGCTGAACCTGAAAGCGAGGAGCTACAGCGACGGCTGCTTGGACTGCGCATGGTGGAGTGGCACCAGGGGAAGCAAACCGCCCCAAGAAAGTAAGAGCGAGGAACATGAGTCAACCGTTCTTCTCTTGGGGGTTCCATCGATATGTTGCCCAAATTACGAGATGTTCTTGATCCGGGACTCTTGCAGGACATGGATAAAGGTGTCAGAATATGTTAGGGTGGCCTTTTTGTTTGCGCCATGTACCGTCTCCCATTGTTTATGTGTTTCCGGACCTTTGTGAGTAAAACGTTAAGTTCATGGCCTTTGTTCGAAGGGGAGTAGCTAGTGAGCCTTTCCCCTATCACCGTGCACCTCAATCACATCCACACATCTATACTTGCCCCAAAAGGTTGCCGGAGCCGTCGAGCCGCCCATCACGAACCGACTCGATTGGCCGTCATTCACCCCAGCCACCTCGCAGCGAGTCGCCGAACTCGCGAGAAGGAACTCGGAGGAGTTGACGAACTGGCACTGCTTGGAGTTGCGAACGGAAGGATCCGGACGGGCATATGTACCTAAATATTGGTGTGGTTTCAGAGGTCAAATTTTCCACACATGAAGCGTTTGGGGGAGATTGAATAGAAACCTGAAAACAAGAACACCTGCTTCCCCGTGTCAGGGGCATTCACCCTGTTCGGAAAATCCAAACAAATCCCAAGCCAAACCAGGACTGCAGCGCCTCAGGAAAGCTCCCCTTCCCGCTGGAGCCCACCACCGAGCCGAGCGTGATGGTGGAGCCCACCGTGGTGCAGCCGCGGCCGCCGATGCCCCGAAGCCGGACGGAGCCTACCGGGCTGCGCAGGTTTGGCTGAAGAGAAGAGCATGTTGTGAACAGGGAACTGGAAGGATACTTGAAGCAAGTGGATCGTTCTTTTGGGATGGATGCTGTGGAAGAGGGTCCATTTCTATTGGAATGTTTTGTTTGGATCCAACGGATCTGTTCGTTTCGAACTCAGTGACCTAACGCCTCCTTGACTCAGCCTGCCTCCAGTGGGTGTTCTTTTAGTTTGTTGATGCAAGAGCCTATCCTCAAAAAAAGGTGGTCACTATTTCATGGGAGACACTGATTAACCAACTCCCTTTGCTCTCCTGTTTCTCATGAAACTTACCGTCTTTCAGGTCATGGCAGATCCCGTCCAAACATTGAAACTCTTATGTTATCTTATGTTCACTGCCATTATTTTTGACGTATTTTGACCAACTACTCAGCTACTTCACGTAGAAATAAAACATGTCATGTGATCGTCTATCTCTAGGGCATCAGTCGGATTTTGTCGACGACGATGGCAGGCCACCAGCACCGGGACGGGACGCACCGCCAGCAGCACCACGGGATGCAGCGCCACATGCGACGCGCCACTTGGAGTGGGTTCAGAGGATAGCCTTTAGAAGGTGTAGGCCATCCATCATTGGCCCATTCATTATGATGGAGATATGGTAGGCCATCCTGCCTGGAGTGACGGTTAGACAGTGTGCATGTTTTCAGAAAATATGAGGAAAAACAAGGAGAATGTTCGGCAACATCTTTTGAATGCCTGGCGTGTTCTTCAACAAGCATGATGCAACCACCTCATGGGTCATCCTGGGTAGACCGCGTCTTTTGTTCCACGGCCGTCCCACGTTCAGCGGCCAGCGGCTGCTTCAAGGGCTGGTGCCAATGGCCGACCGCGCTCTGGTGGATTTATTGCAGCATCGAGGAGTGCGCTGGCCGGTGGCCGTTCTGGGGGGTGTTTTCGAGAGGCCCATGCGATAGCAAGGATTTGATTCGCATTCCGCATTCGGTCAGGATCTTGACTCTCTGACAAATTATATAATGTGGAAGTGGAAATGGACAACCACCTGTGGAGGCAAATTGTCTTCCAAAGCCAACTTTCCATTTCCATCACCATCATTAGGGAGTGTGAACACCTATCGTTCTCAAGAATGTGATCATTATATCCGCAACCCAGATCTGATCCAAACACCCCGCTCACAGAGGAAACCCTCCAGAAGTTCGAGGCGAGCTGTTTGTTTGGGGCATGTTTTGCTTTCAAAAACCGCCTGGGCAACCAGGAGCCATTGATGAGGCCTTGGGGCAGAGCACAGATCGGCCTGGTGTCAGCGGGCCTCGGTAGGCTCCAGGGAAAGTCTCTTTGTGTGACGTCCATGGATGTGAATGCTCATGCGGAATCCATGAGTGTCATGACAATTGCAACTGGTGTTGATCATCTAGACGTCCCACACGAGCCCCAGAGCCTGAGTGGAGTCTGAAATGCCAATGAATACATTTTGTGACGCCTGGTGGCCCTGGCTGTAGCTATGGAGGCTGGTCTGTTGGAGGCATTAGATCATTAGACTTCTTGGCCATGAAATAGTACACGTGAATGTGGTGAACACATTCAATAGTTACCTTCGGGCCACCCGACGTTGTGCACCCACCCAGCCAAAGATTCGCTCGAAAACTGGGCGTGCTGGAGCATGGCTCGTGGTTAATCTTGTATCCACGGTTGGTCAGATGCTTGGTGGGATCTTGCCGCCAACGATCAACATTAATAAAATTATATATATATAATATATATATATATTATATATATGAAATATTATGTATATGTATTTATAAATTGATCAATATTGTTTTAATCCAACCTTGGATTGATAATCCCCCCGCGTGGAAGGTCAACAAGGTCTAGAAAATCTGAGATATTATTTATGACGTTTACCTCCCCTGAATATGTTGCTAATCACTTGAAAAATAAAAAGGAATAATAATAATAATAATAGTAATAATGATAATTAATAATAATAAAGGAATATGAATTAAAATCTTCTTGACACTAAATTTATCATTTAAAAAAAATATCTTAGAAACCATATATTATATTATATTAAAAATAAAAATTATATATATTTAATTTTTTAAATTTATTTCATATGCTAAAATAAAATTCTTTTTGTTAATATATTAAAAGAATCATTAATTTATATCGCATTCGAATCCGAATGCTCGTCTATAAATTTCATATTAATGATTGTATTTATTAATTCAAAATATATTATATTTATTCTATCGCAAGAAATAATAACCTTATAATATTAAAATTTATTAATTTTATTTTTTTTTACCTTAATATAGAATTATTTAATATATTTGATTATTAATTATAATGAATTTTATATAGCAATTAATTTTAAATATATACATTTAAATGAAGATAATATAATGTTTAATATAATCTCCTTCCTAAAATATGATATCTTTATTCAAAAAATTTAAAACAAAACAAATATAATATAAATATACAATTATTAATTTTGTATATATATAATATTAATTTATTTTTTTTTGATAAACATATTTAATTTATTTTTAAAAATAATTGCGTAATTAGTTATTCATTATTAAATATTATATATTTTATATAAAAATTAAAATATATATATATATTTAAAAAAATATATATAATGAATATTTATTAAATGTTCTATTGTATTAAAAAAAATATATATTAATTTAAGAATTATTTTTTTAATATAATCTATTTCGATTTAGATATATTTTTATTTATATAGAATATTAATATATAATATATGGTTGGTAAATTTGTTAACATATTTTTATATAAAAAATATATTACATTTTCGGGGGTGGGTTTCAATATCTAGAATCTTGATTCCGAAAATATAAAAATATATCTGTGCGAATAAATATTATAAAAAATAAAAAATATATTATATATCTTGATCCTACAATATCCTAGTCAATACAAATGCTCCACTGGACGTGGCTTGTACAATACTGGAAATCTGTTCAATTATTTTTTGGAAATTTTTGGAGGATATTCCATCCCAATAAACGCACCAATATTTCAGGCCTGATTCAGACCGGTTTCAGGCCCCGTTCAATAGAGGGTATCGTTTCTAGGCAAAAATGCGGCCCTGGCAAAACCTGGGAAAACCCAACGGACGGTTGTAAATTTTTGAAAAATTGATTAAGCTCCATATCACACGACATTGGAAATCTATTTAGTGGTATTGTGGATATTTTTGGAGGACAACCCATCCCAATAAATACACCAATGTTTCAGGCCTGATTCAGACCCGGTTCAGGCTCCGTTGAGTAGAGGATATCGCTTCGAAGCTACGGCTAAATTACAATTTCTTAATTTTGGGTTTTGCAAATCCATAGAAACCCACACACAGCCGCACTTAGCTTGGTGCTCACAAAAGCTAAGTCAGTTGCTGGATCACGGATGAAGGTCCACCTTACGCGCATTAGTCCTTGATTTGGAAGAATTGTAAGGTGGCAATGACGGCGGAATCAGCAAATTCAAAATGTTTGACCAAGGGGTTTTTTACTATCGCAACACGAACAACTGGGAAAGGTTTCGGGGAGTATCATGAAAGGACTTATGGAATCAAACAAACATGGAGGAATAGAATCACAGCGTGTGCAAAAACTCCTTCTGCAGATATAGAAGGATGATCAATCTATCTATTCTTTCCTCGATATATCATAGCTTCGTTGCGTCAGGTAGGTGTATCGAGCTTGACGCCCCTGCCTTGATTGAAATTCCTTTGAAATAGGTATGGATGCGCACACACTTCGACAATTGTATTCAGTTAACTCAGTTCCCACGCTGGGAAGGATGGCGGTGGAACAGCATGGTGAAAGGTCCAAAGACTTGAAGGTGTTTTAACATTGAGGTTTCTCATCTGTAGTGGTGCGACGACGACGCGCGCGAGCCCACGATGGGAAGGAAGGCG